TTCAAGGAGGGAATTGGTTTTAATTTAGTAAATAGAAATTTAGCACCCACAATGAGTTAATTTCTGTGCTATGCACTAGGGACATAATGATAAAGAAACCGTAATTTTGTTTAGTGAGGTTTTTTCCTCCCATCAAAGAGCTTCCTGTCAAGTGAAAAATTCAATAACTCAGTAGAGTTAATGCCAAGAAGTAAATGCTGTGTTGTGGTTACACTAAGGAAATTATGGAAGTCAGGCCCACTTCTTTCCCTCTACACAGATTGGATCAGCATGAGTGATATCACTCTCATCTGCTTTTGTTTTCATGTGGACCTTTGGGCTGGGAGTCTAGTGAGGACTAACTTTTCACTACTCAAGTACAGAGCATATACTTAGCCATGGGTTGGACTGTCGTTTCTGCCTAGAGTTCCTAATCATATAATTTACAAAGACAAAGTTTTTTTAAAAGCCTAATAAATCAAAGAAAAGAGCATGGTTGACTGAGTCAAAGGTTTGGCAATAGCAACCGCTATGAATAGGAAACTGAATAAAAACATTAAATAGCCATCTGCTAAAATAATAATAAAAATATATTTGTTTCATGCTTAATATGTTTAATAACAAGGCCATGAATAAGATATTGTGTTCAAATCCAGAATTGGTGGAAAGAGTATGAGAGTTGGATGCAGAGTTGCTAGCTGCTCTTTTTTTTTTTTTTTCTTCTTTTTTTTACTTTTCTACATTTCCTGTAAGAGGTACACTGAAGAGCATCACACTGCTTGATTGGCATCCTCTAGGACTAAATGACTGGTCTACTGAGGCTGAGGCATCAGGTGGCAGAGAATCAGAGTTGGATGCAGAGTTGCTAGCTGTCTCTTTTTTTTTTTTTTTTCTTCTTTTTTTTACTTTTCTACATTTCCTGTAAGAGGTACACTGAAGAGCATCACACTGCTTGATTGGCATCCTCTAGGACTAAATGACTGGTCTACTGAGGCTGAGGCATCAGGTGGCAGAGAATCAGAAGCATTACTATGACTCTTCTCAATATCTGATTTCTGAACCTTCCACTGCTCTAATATAGTTTATATACTTCTAATGTAGTTCTGTATAGTTCAGTGCTACTTAAAGTATAATCTTGCAGCCTCATGAGAGACCTTGTTAGAAATACAAATAATCAAGTCTCACTCCAGACTTAATCAGAATCTTTACTATATGGGCCCTGGAACTTGAATTTTAACAAGCCCTCAAGGTGATTCTGATCCTTAAATTTGAGAAGCATGACTATCAAAGGGCATATGATCCTAAGAATTTATTCTGTCATTCATGAAATTTCTTGCTCCCCACAATTAATCATCCATTTCTCTGTTCCCTATCTATTCCCTAAATTTCTTTTTACTTTTTCCTTTTTTTGTACAAATTATTCCAATTCTATTACTCATCTTGCTCCCCCTCCATGTCAAAAGACTCTCTCTCTTTCTCTGTGTGTGTGTGTGTGTGTGTGTGTGTGTTTGTGTGTGTGTAGTGCTCCAAAACCATTTCTTATGGTGACCTTTTTCTCTCAGGCTAGTGTATGCACAAGCACAAGTATTTATTTGGAAGGAATTGGAGCTACAAGAAATGGTTTTGGAGCACTTTAATGTTGCTCTTACCCAAATTTGACCCAATTCAGCTGAGGATATTACTATATAAAGCCTATTAAAAGCAGTATAGTTTATTTCAAATATAGGAAACTATATAGAGTCTTTTGACATGGTAGGATAGCCAGATGAGCAATATAATTGGAATAATTTGTCCGAAAAAAGTAAAAAAGTAAAAAGAACTTTAGGAAATAGAGAAATGGGTGATTAATTGTGGAAAGTAAGAGCTTTCACAAATAGCAGAATAAATTGTTAGGACCATATACTCTAAATGCTTTTTTGGAACCAATAGAGGATATAACATTATTCATGTATATAAACACACACCTTTAGAAGCAAATGAACATTACCAAGAAGATAAAGCACCAATAAATGCTCAAACTTCTGTATACTTCCTTTAGGAATCAGGAACATAGAAGATCTAAATGACACCAAGCAAGAAAGCAAAGCCCGAAAGCAAAGCCCAATGACAATCTAGTTAGACAAGGCAAATCTATGCATACTTTTCATTCATTTAGGAAGGATCTAGCAATATCTTACTATGTACCCAGCACTATACTAATTTAGAGAGAGAAGGCAGTGAAGCAAATAGGAACAATTCTTTCTGTCTTCAATTTTAGAGCCTTGTCACTGAGGCAGACACTCTACACCTCTACCCCTCCTCCCTACACCTCTAAAGTACACACTAGGTCATAGACTCTGACGGCAGGGGGACCAGGGTTTGTATTTTTACTCTATCACTGACTAGCTCTTTAACCTTGGACAAATCACATCTTTAAGCTTCAGTGTCTATAATAAAAAGATAATAATAGACCCCAGTATTTGGCTTATTGTGAAGATTAAATGATTCATGGTAAATTGCTGACTCATTGCCTAGCACATAGTAAGTACTTAATGTTAATATTTTACTGTATAAGTAGATATACTTTTTTAATTGAAAGAAAAACACAAGGTGTTTTGAGAATATATAACCAAGGAATCTAATTAAGATTCCATACAAATAGTGCAATGTGATACTGAACTAAAACTACCCAGTTTTCTGCCTCCTTATGCTTTCTGTAAAGTATGTGGAGTTGAGGCTTCCAGGGACTCTATATGAGACTGCCAGCTTTGGTTTTTCTAATCTGACATTAGTAAGGTAACACTGATCAATTCACCCTGGTTCTGAAGCAGAATCGTAACATAAAGGACTGCCTAACTTACATTGCCAGTATGTCCCCTGGTCTTGTTGGCTGGAAATGTTATTTTCATACAACCATTTTCATTTTTTAGTTGAGCAGCATTGGAACTATCCAGATTCCTTGCTGTTTGGCAAATGTTTTAATTGGTTATGTTTTGCTACCCTGGGCACACTATTAGACAAAATTGCAACAAAAGACATCAATAAAAAGCAGAAAGCTTCAGATTGTTAAAATCGTGAATGTTATTAATACTATTAAAATGCTAATTGCTGTTTAGAGGAGATTCAGTTGCAATTCTAAAGGAGGAAATGCTTAGGCTGCAGGATCTGAGGCATGGATTGTTTGTTCCCTAAAGGGGAGAAAATTCACTTTTGTTTAATTTATATGAACAAGAAGGCATTCCAAGGAGGTACGCTGAAGTGACTGTAGACCTCCTAGGGTCAGAGCCACCTTCAGCTTCACCCCCACCCTAGGTGGTCCTTAATTGCCACTACAGACTGCCTGGCTGGAACTTATTGTTTGCACTGCACATGACCTTGGATGAAAACTAGAGCGCTATGAATTAATCCCTGTAATATTTTGTGTTTAACATCTGTGTTGTCACCAGCCATTATTCAGAGGATTAAAAAAAAAAAAAAAAGCCAGATCTATCTCCTACTACATTTTTTTTAAGTCTACACTATTGTTTCCCAAGGACTCTCCAAATGGATCACTTATAAATGAGTGAATCCATTCATTTTCTTTATTTTCTGAAACAAAAGTCTACAGAATTTAGGGGATAATACCAAAACAAAATAAGATAATTTTTTAAATAATAGGAATCCCTCAGATATCTCCATTTCCTCTATCTATATTGCTATCATCTGTCTTTTCTTTTCCAGTATCTGTTTTAAAATAGGGGAGGATTCCAAAGCACATATATCAAAATAAAATGATTTCATGTATCAGTTACGGCTTTATTCATTGATGAAATGTAGTCACCACAGGGAGAAATGTAGCAACAACTTAGCATCCAGAAATAATACAGAACACTGTGCTGCATTAAATGAAAAATACCTGCAAGAGGAAGTGAGTTAATAAAAATTCAATTACTCAAATGGGAACTTTTCCAAGACCCCAGGGTTAACACCTAGATTAAACTCTCACTCTCACTCTCTCTCTCTCTACACACACACACACACACACACACACGCATGCACGTACACACACACCTGGCTTTATTAATTGTCAGAAGTGTTTTAAATACTTCTTTTCCTTTTATATAAATACAAGAGATAAAAGTTACGGCTAAAATAGTTTTTATATCATCAACCTGAGAACTAGTTTTACATAGGAAGCTAACAATAACAACAACAATAATCACAAAGATTAGAAAGAAAATGCCAAAGTGTGTTGGACACAACACAGAACACTTGAAGGCAGACCCCAACACTAGGCTGTAAAATTAAGTAATAAACAGTCACTGTAGAGGGCAGAGTGACTCACAGAAGAGGCAGATCATTGGTCTTTGATTTCATACTTCCTTCTTAGATCTTCTCTTAGAGGTTATGGAAAGGAATGATCATCTTGTGAGGCTATTTAGGGAATCTGAACATAAAAGAAAATAGAATTACAGATGGGTGTTAAGAGACCATTTTACTCTACTTCAATAATGTGAAAAACAGAGTAATTAGCATGGAGGAAAAAAAAATAAGTAAATATGGGCCTAGAATACATCCTATACAGAACTTGAAATATTTTTAGAACTCTAATGTGTACTGAACTTATGTGGAGAGAATAATTTCAGAATGATACCATATTTAGCTGGGGAGCCATACAGACTGGGCTCTCTTAGACGTTGATTATGGGAAGCAAGAAGTGAGCAGCATGGAAAAGAAATGGTAAGAGTTTAGTTGGAGGAGGAAGACATCTGGAGGTTTGGCCCCAGTTAAAAATTCATAGGCAAATCCTGCTGGAAAGGGAGTTAGTGGTTTAATGAATAAGTTATTATCTAAACACCAGGAGGTTAAAGGTTAACAGAAAGAACTCCAACAATGATGTCTTAAGTGCTCCTAACTTGACACATAATGTTTAGTTTGTTGCCATTTGTTCTGAGTGTTAGTTTTAAATAGACTATTGACAAATTACAGATTTTTTTTCACATATTGAAATTATATTCCAGATGATTTTGAGATTCACTGGTATAATATTCTCCTCATGAGGTAGGATGGAGGGTAAAAGTGTTCTTCTCTGAAATAAATGTGGTGTTTCCTGACAGCATTTGTCAAGGTAAGGCGCTGTCTTTAAAATGGGACATCTAGTTTCAATTTACATTATGCTTATTTCTAAGACTTCTATTTTTTTGAGTTTTATGAATTGATTCTCTTTTCCTCTATCATTTATTCAGATTATGACCACATGTGGCACTTTCTTGTCTGGAGTGGTGAAAGTGGGGAAGGAAGAGAAATGATATTTTACAGTAGTGTCATATAGTAATCCCGATAAGATTGGAGTTTATGAAAAAATCATGAGATAAAACATTATTGTGATATTTCTTATACCAAACTACAATTTTCATTCCCCCAATTATTTTTATGTTTTAAAAATGTTTTTCCCTCTTTTTGTCAAAGGCAGTCTCATTAACAGTTATCGTATCTCAATGTTTATGTTCTTAAGGCTTTCAATATTATTAACCAATCTTTCCATTTCTTTAGTAGATCACAAGTTTCAAAGAGTGTATTTTAATATAATACTCCTATTATAGGCCTATAAAATATTTAATTAAGAGAATATAATTTTCTTACTACGTTGCTGTGATTATTCATACCCCGCTCCCTCTTCCCAGAACACTTACTTGCTCCATTAGAATCTTACACGGGACCCTTTCTTTTCCTGTCATAATTCCCATCATAATGTGTTATCTCACAGCCACTTTTTCGAAGTATATTTCCTTAGACTTAATAAGATTAAGAAAAGAGCAGTAACTAAGGCTTCTACCTCTTAATGAAAGCTTCCTTAGCTTTACAAATACCAGACCAGATCTCTGAAGTTACTGCTTGAAAAGACCTGATTCTAAAGCACTTTTATCCACATTTGACTCTCTCGAGGCATTTGTTTTTTTCCACTTCGACTCATTTAATTGCACATGTCCCCAGTCAGACTGCCTAAAGAGAATGACTGTGTCTATCCTGGTCAGTTTTTACTCCGGCACTTAACACAGAGTCTCGAATAATGTAGGCGAATAACAGATATTTGTTTTATTAATTCAGACTGTACATAATGTAGAAAACAGAATCAATCCTCAACATAATCCATTCTGCTTAATTATAAAGTAATAATTTAAAATAACAATAATAATGATGATGATAGTTAACATTTCTCAAATCTTCCCTAAGTATCTCAGACTTTTCTAACCATTTTATACAGATTAAATTTCACAAGTCTGAGAGGTAAATGTTATTTTAATCTTTACTTTATAGAGGAGAATACTGATCACAGCAAGTTTGAGGACATAGTCTTTAGTCAAACACCTAGTAAGGGGTAGAGGTGATACTGACACTGTGTTAACACTTTTAAGCCTCTGATGTTTTCTTTGTAAAGGAACTGCTTAATATATCTAAATAACTAAACCTCCCTTGCATTCCTTTTACTACTTATCATGCAGTAACTATTTCAATGAGATCCTTATTATGCCTTAATATTCTATATTTCTCTTCCTAATTTTCTTTCAGAGAAGTGAACTGTATACAAATTAACTATCTTAATCATTTTCGTTATTATGTATGCCCCTATTCATTTGTTAGAAAACTCTTTTCTCTTAATTATGTTCTTTTCTCACAATAAATTGGTTAAAGCTCAGATTATACATAGTAGTTTCTTAATTTCTTCCTGCTAAGATTAACCCATGACTATTTTAGAAACCTTCAGATTTGTCGTTGCAAACTTGAACTGCCTCTGGTTAATTGGTTCCTTCTACGGTTCTTCCTTTCTACCACTGACTTGCAGTTAACTCCAGTTATTGAGCAGCTCCTCACAAAGTTATTTGATCTTTGAATCCCTCTTTTCTGGAATACATGCAATCTGTTATGCTTTAATTAGCAGGATTATCCTAGGCTATACCTGTCTTCTTCACAAACAGAGTTTCTACCTCATATTACTTCTGATGATCAATAACTGGCTTTCTTAGCATCTAACACACTGGAAATTCTGTGTACTTGATCCCATTTTTAACAGTGCCAAATTTAAATAAAATGTGGTTTATGTGGCAAGGATATTTATTTTTTCTATTTTTTAATTAGTTTTATGCTCTCAGTAACTAATAGATCAAGATGCATTTCATACCCCTTAGAAACCTGTAGTTTCTGTGTGGTAGAAGATTTAAATAATATTGTTATTTAGGGAGATGTATTTTTGTTCTAACTGATTTTTTCTCCTCCAAATCATAAAGGCTTTGTAAATCACTCTCAACATTTTATGAAAGTGACTTGCAAAATAAGATACTTAAATGAAAAATCTTAGCTGTCAGCCACCAATAAAATAGGCTCTATTGGCTGGGGTCACTCAGTTGTACAGTGTCATTTGGAAGTAAAGAATCCTTGGAAACTTTTCTTTAGTATCACCAAAAGTTTTGGAAGTCCATATACACATTCCTGATATTGATGCAGACTATCTTTGCAATAGTAAAGTATTTTGCTTGAGACATTGAAGACTTATCTTGTTCTTTAAAACAGTATAGATTGCTTAATTCAGCCAAGATATTTCAAAAGTTGGAAATTATATTCCTCTATACGTGACCAACAATATATTTGTAATTTTGAGTGAAATTTTGTTTCTTACACATGAACTGACAATGCATCTTCTGATCAGTAAAGAAGGTTAATTTTGTTAACTAAATGCCCACCATGTTAAATCTATTTCTGATATTCGAAACAATTTACAATGTCTACTACTTCTAATTCTAAATGTGTAAAATGCTCTAAAAATGTACATTAAACGCTCATCACTACCTCTAAAACCTGCCTCCATTGATAGCAACCTGATCCATTTCACTATCATTGCTTTCCCATATTACTAGTATGATAACTAGTTGCCTTATTATACCCATGATGTATTCCCTGCAATCTGTTTTCAACATAGAAGTCAAGTGAGTTCATCCCTTCTTTGTCAAAACTCAAGGACTTCCTATCTGAGTAAAAGACAAATTCCTTTTGATGACAAGATTATTTTTATTCTATTCTTCTGTAACTTCTTTGACTTCACCTTCTTCTAATTTCCTACTTACTTACTCTTCTCCAGTGCCATTGGCTTACATGTGCCATTTTTTTATTCCTTTTCTTTTCTTGTTCGTCTTCCTCTTTTTTTTTTTAATAAAAAAAAATTACAGACAAAATTCTTTTCCCTTGTTTTTCTTTCTGTGTAGAATGTTGCTCCCCTCAGAAGGCCCACTTCCTCTCCCACGATAAGAGAGAAAAACAGGAAGGGTAACTTGGAAATAAGTTAGTTTTAGAAGCAGTGAACATGTAATATTTAATAATCTAGGATTGAATTACGATAGATAGTTCTTAATATATAGGATTATTTTCAATATCAGTCAACATGAAAATTTGAAGATAAATGCTTGATGTGATGTATAATACAGACTATCCTGCTTGATATGTACACCAATCCCCTTCTAGTGTGTTTTCTTCTGCTGTAAAGACTGGAAAGATTTTTTTATTCTTATTTTTTTGAGACAGAGTCTCGCTCTCTTCCCCAGGCTGGAGTGCAGTGGTGCAGTCTCGGCTCACTGCAGCTCACTGCAACCTCCACCTCCAGGGTTCAAGCAATTCTCCTGTCTCAGTGTGGCTATTTTTTTTTTTAATTTTATTATTATTTTTTAGATGAAGTCTCGCTCTGTTGCCCACATTAGAGTGCAGTGGTGCAATCTCAGCTCACCGCAACCCCCGTCTCCTGGGTTCAAGCATTTCTCCTGCCTCAGCCTCCCGAGTAGCTAATATTACAGGCACGCACTGTCATGCCCGGCTAATTTTTGTATTTTTTTGGTAGAGACAGGGTTTCACCATGTTGGCCAGGCTGGTCTCGAACCCCTGGCCTCAAATGATGCACCCACCTCGGCTTCCCAAAGTGCTGGGATTATAGGCGTGAGCCACTGCTACCGGCCACTAATTTTTGTATATTTTAGTAGTGATGGGGTTTCACCATATTAGCCAAGCTGGTCTTGAACTCCTGACCTCAAGTGATCCATCCCCCTCAGCCTCCCAAAGTGCTGGATTACAGGCATTAGCCACTGTGCCTGGCCAGGATTTTTTTTAACTCAATGTATAGTTTCACTTATAATGATGGTTTTGGAAGTAAGACTTTGATTTGGAGCTTCATAGAATGAGAGGCAGGAGAGGAAGTGTCCATTTTGCTGCTGGAGAGTGAAATATTGGTGTGCAATTCTGAAGTAGCAAATATAGTTACAATGTCCCAATTCTATAGGCAGCCTTCTGATTCCACATCTTGCCTAATTATAGTTGGCTGAGGCAGCAGTTTCCTTGATGGTCAAGTTCTAAAGTGTGGCTTTGTGACTAATTGCCTGTGATGAGTCCCTTTGTCTTTAAAGTAGAACAGATTTTGTTCCCTGTGACACTACTGACTGAAACAGTTGGTGTGTTTTTATAATTTTTTTCTTAAAGTGCAGAAGATTGTATTATCTGTTAAAATATGACTTAATCTTTGTGATCTGAACATGATACAGAACTTTGGGAACATGCCAGCATACAAAAACATTATTGTTTAATCATGACATTTAAACTAACCCTCTACCAAGATAAAAGGATAAGGTGATGTACTAGTAGAGTAGAAATCCACTAGATTGGTTCAAGTTTATAGAGCATAAAGGAGTACTACCTTTTGTAACCTCTTTGATTCTTTTCTGCTTTTGCAGAAGGAAAGGTCAAAAATAAAGCACTGATGGAAACACACGATAAATAAGGTAGGTCTCATGGCTACATGTCATGAGAAAACTACGCACAACATTAGAAAGAGGAAAATGTGTCAAACATATTCAGTTAACTATACTATGTTAAGATTAAAATATACTATTGTGCTGGAAACACAAAACATCAAGTGTTTCACAATATGATGAAATATTTTCATCCTTGCTAGTGACTCAAATAAGTATGTGTTCGTTGCCATTTACAGAAAGGGCATGTCTTGTTATTTCTCAATATTATGAGTATGTCAAATGCATCTTCACGTATGTGCAAATAAAATCTTGAGCAGGTCATCATTTGGACAATGATTTTGTTTATTTTCACAATGGATATGCAAATTTAGTTATACATACATACATATGAACAAAACATACATATAAACAAATCATCATTATCATCATCATCATCGTATCTTCCTTAGGTGTTTAATGGGCACCTATTTGCTTTTAATTTCATTATGTAATGGAATTCAGATAAAAAAGCAAATGGCTTCTCATTGTAACCAGCTTGAAGTATGTTTAAAAAAAGAAAACATACATTTTTATTTTATAGTTTACTGGCTGGCTATCTACTATCCACCATCAGAAGTAATAGAACATAATTTAGCATCCTGGAAATTATATCTAAAAAAGATATTGCAGTAATCTATGATGGATATATATGATTTAGTAGAATCACCTGAGACTAAAACATGCGATTTAATATAAAGCAAGATAAACTTGATATGATCATCAACAATGTAATGAAGTTTGAGGCTGAAATGCCAGAATTATAATATTTAAAACAAAAGATAATCATTTTATTATAGTTAAATAATACATTTAGTTCTAAACACTCTATAAGACACACACACACACACACACACACAGAGATGGATGGATAGATAGATAGATAGATAGATAGATAGATAGATAGATAGATATTCTCCTGGAATATTTTTAGGCAAGAATAATCAGTATAACTAAAATACCTGAAACTCTGAAAGCTTGCTTTGCCCAGAAAAAGGAAAGTGATGGTAGAAAGGATCAGGAAATAGTTGCCAGGTATGAAAGCAATTTGACATGTTTAGTCTCAATTAAAAAAAAAAAACAAAAACTTTCTCTTAGAGATGTCAAGAAGTAAAATATACTTAATCAAAGGATAAGCTATCTGTCAGAGGAGCTATTCAAGCAAAATTTATTTGACAAGTGGGTTGAAATCATTCAAAGGAAAGACCGACCTCTGAAATCTGTGGGACGAAATGAACTTTAATTTCCCTTTCAACATCAAAATACTATGCTTTTGAAATGCACATTAAAATAAGCATACAAGTCAATAAATGCCAGTCACCAAATAATTTGTAAGTGCTAAGAGAGTTTAGAGACGGGAGAGAAAATAACTTCTATGGTGGAAAAAAAGCCTCTAAAAAGTAATGGGATTTTAATTGGACGTTTAGGGGAAAAGAAGAAGAGTACATGTTGCAAATATTCCAATAAAGGGAAGACGTTTGATCAAAGATAAGAAAAACCCAAATATGTGTGGAATTTTCAGGGGAAAAAAATGATAAAATGTTCCATTTGTACAGTTTATACCAATTTTCAACATTCAAAACAAACATTACACATTTTATTCTCATAATGCCCCTGGAAGGAAATAATGTTACCTACACTGCAAAAAGAAACGAAAACTTCGGCTGGTCACAGTAAAACTACAACTAGGACCTGTACTTTCTAACTTGCTTACAAGTGTTCATTCATTCTACTCTATCTTAAATGACATTCCATGGAACAGAGTGTATTTTTTTTTTTCATAGTAGATGTATATATGAGTCATACATCTTGGAACTTGCAAAGAAGTTCTAAATTTTGAGCACTGAGTAATACATATTTATTGTTCCACAATTGAATATGTGTTTGCATGTGAAATATGTTTCTTTGAAAATATTCTTTGAATCCAGTTATTTCAAAGATGAATAAATTATATGCCATTATGGCTTCCTTCATATTGCATGTACAGCTATTATAAAATCTTCTTGTGTTAAAGTTAAAGCAATTCATATAGTAGTAGTTATTGTTGAACTTTTAAGATGCTATGCTTATTTTTGCTATGTGGAGGGAGAAAGTCCAAAGCTTCTATCTATGTTCCATCTCCCTGGAGCACCCACCCCCTTGTTCTTTTTGCCTGAATAACTATTATTCATCAAATCTTAGTTGAAATGTTACTTCTTCAGGGGAGTCTTTCTGAGCCCCTCTTATAGATCTAGTAAGTTTCCCTTTTGTATGTTTTACAGCACTCTGTGTTTCCCATTTGTAACACAAATCGTAATTGTAACTAAACATTTTGCAGAGTTATGATTTGTTTAATATCCAACATCCTGAAAGACTGAGTTGTAAGAGAGCAGGTACTTCTTTCCTCTATATTCCCAGCAACAAATACCACAACGTGCACCTGTAGACACCTATTTTTGAAGCAAATGAACAGATGAATGAGTGCTAAAATTGAGTGAACCATTAAAAAAAAATGCTGATGATCTTTTAATTAGTAATTCTCATTAAGTGATAAGTTTCATTGCAGCATAATTTCTTATTTTTTTCTTAGAAGCTGTTTCTGTTGAAATTTAGTAAGATCCTCTTTTCAAAACAATACAAAAATGAATATATTTCCCTCAGCACACTTTTTATAAGGTGACACTGGGATATCTTGCAGAATATCAGGTACAGCAAGTGTTGGAATTATGCAGCAATCAGAGGATGGAATTTTTGAAACATTTTTAGATGAGAGTAAAGAAAAGAAATTGAGCGCATGTTCCTGACACGGGGAATAGGTATTTAATAAAATAAATATAGTTTATAGATCATATGGGGCTTTTCTATGCCTGAAAGAAGAGACATTGGCTGATTTTAAAGAAAAAAGTGAAAGTAATTATTTTCATTAGTTTAGGTGCTCTTAGTTAAGACTTTGGTGTAGGCTACCTCTCCATAGGATGAGCTTCAGTGAAATCATCTTTAAATGCAATCACAGCATTTCATTAATTTACATATATAAATTATAAAATATACACATATACGCAGTCCCATCTGTAACAAACTTTTTACAAAATGCTACTAGAAACAGTTTTAATAATGTGAACCTTTCCAATGACAAATGCTTTGATTTTCTTCTTATATGTCCACAAGTCATCAGATAAATTTACCAGGGGTGTTCCACAAACAATGAGGAAGAATACCATTTGTGTTCATAAATTTAGTCAGTTTGTCTGGGTGGAAGGATCAAATATCATGTCTATAATTTTTTTTAAGGTATGTGGTTTAGAGACTTCTAACAAACTTGATATGCATTAAAGTAGACAAGAGTAGGCAACAAAAAAAAATGCTTTCCTAAAGATCCAAGTCATTTTTGATAACTGTTTAGATGAATAATAATCTCACCAGAGGTGATATTTCACATGTAATGATATTGAGATACATGTTCAAAATATCAATATGTTGCATAATATTTAAAGCATATTCAGTAACAACAGTTTTAAAAAATTCTAATGAGATACATCTCACCAACAAGTACATTTATAAATGGAAAAGCAAAATTTAAATGACATTTGAGATTAGTTTCATGCATTCTATCTAGTATTATCATTTTATCTCAATACACAGATTTCCACAGAGATATATAACTAGGTCATAATACAATCTCCACTCTTATTACTAATTAATTATGTGCAAATGGAAAGAGCACTGATGGCAAAAATTTGCCAACCCAACAACATGTGAACCATGGAGGGTTATATTGCCAAGTGTTGAATTTGTCAGTTCTCAAATTATAAAAGATTAAGTCACAGACAGTATTCATATTATGGCATCATATCTGTAAAAACTTATTATGATTTATTAATGTGTTAGTCATTGGTCATCATTAACCCTATAGAAAGTCAAAAGTGTCAGTCAATTATTCGCTATTAGAGGACTAGCCATGGAAAAAACCCTTGGATGTCTCAATCACCTAACATAATAAATTTTTATGGTCACATTTACTTATAGTAAAATGTACTCTACCAATATGTAACTAGAATATTATTGAAATATAATGTTACTATATGAGTTATGGATGGCAGACTAATTCACTGAGACATCAAAATTACAGTGGCAAAGCATTTTACGTGTTGTATAATTCTTGTGATGTAGCAGTTTCTTTCTTTTTTTTTTTTTTTTTTGATATGGAGTCTCACTCTGTCACAAAGGCTGGAGGGTAGTGGCCCAATCTCAGCTCACTTCAACCTCCATCTCCCTGGTTCAAGCAATTTTCATGCCTTGGCCTCCCAAATAGATGGGATTACAGGCCCCTGCCACACCATGCCTGACTAATTTTTGTATTTTTAGTAGAGACGGGTTTTCACCATGTTGGCCAGGCTGGTCTTGAACTCCTGATCTCAGGTGATCTGCCCGCCTTGGGCTCCAAAAGTGCTGGGGTTACAGGGGTAAGCCACCACACTGGGCCTCATGTAACAGTTTCACTTGGTTATTAAATCAGTAAAAGTCTAGGAAAATTGTGACTTTTCTGAATCAAACCTCTCTGCTATGCACACATGAGGATAAACGGTGTGCAATCGAATTTATTTTGTAATGTCATAATTTGTCTTGTGTTGAGAAGTCAATATCAAACAAACGTACTTCTGAGCTCAATACTACACTGTTTAGGATGAAACCAAATATTACCTCTTCTAGTTCTGGCAGTTGTTATCTTAGTAATGCCCATCCTAAGTCATTAAAACAGTAATTGAAAAATATTTGTTAACTGCTATAATTGTAGTTTTTATTATTCATCAAAATAAAGGACTGCTCACAAAGTAATCTTGTATCATTTATGAACAATCATTACTACACTACAAAGCAATTGAAAATACCTATTTCCATGAAAAATAATTGTAAATATATTTATTAATATAGTTCTAATGGATTTTAAATGAAATAGCACAATATGCAAGAAACTCATATTTGCCCAATTCATCCCCTGAAAGAGCTAACTG